GAGAAAGGAAATATTGAAATCGCATCATATGACCCCTTTAATTAGTCATGGGTGTGCTTTGGGTGTAACGTGCAATAAACCAATCAGAGTCTCATCTCCCATTCCCTTTAAAAGCCAGTTGCGATCGCGCTACTTACATGGCAGAATTTGCAAGAGCAAAGACTGAACGCTTTTCCAGAGAGGAAAGGTTCTGCTCATGCGCAAGATTAAAGCACGCAAGCAGACTGTAACGGGGCTGACGAGACGTGAGACGTGTGGATCCATCTGCAGGCTTTATTAAAGAGACGTGGTAAACAGGCAGGGTCAAACAATGGCAAACAGGTATATGGCGGGCAAAACACAAGAATAGTCCCAGGGCTAGCGTAGGTCACCGATCGGCAGACAGAATCACAGGGGCGAGACGAGAGGGAAAAATCCAGAAAAACAGGCAAAGATCAGAAACCGCGAAAACAGGCAAGGCAAGGCAAAAACAAGGAAAACTCAGAGACTCGGAATGGGGTACGGGCTAAACAATACTCAGCCGAGAAAGGTGGTTAGAGTGGGTGTTATATAGTGAGTGAGGTGATTAGAAACAGCTGTGTGCAATGAGTGCAATCAGTGCAGTGTGCAAATCGTGCAAAGAATGATGGGATATGTAGTCCGGGGTGCTATGCAACAGTTTGTGTTGTGCGAGAGTCAATGTAATGGAAAGGGTGACCTCTGGTGGTGAATAAACGGAAGTCCATGGACCGAATTCGTGACACAGACCATCTACGTGGTACAATAATAATCTTTTACATTGTAATCCTTTCATTTTTAATATTTTGAATGTTTGTGTGCTGCTGTGCGTCCCTGTGTGTGTAATAAGTAGAGTGTATGCGTGTTGTTCACCCGCCTATAGGCTCATATTACTAACACGCTCTTTAATTAAAAAAATATATATATTGCGCCATTGACTTTAGACCAGGTTTCAGTTGGTCAGTGGTGCAGTCTATTTCAGTTGCCTCAAAATAGCAATGCACCAACAATGTGCCTGAACACACCTCGCTTTCAGACCAGCACGCCCATGGGCACACAAATGGGCATAAATGCATTTGCTATTTAAACAACGTGGCATAGGAAGTGAAAATGATAACTGCGTGGGGCTGAAACTAGCAAAAAACACTTGCGTTGTGCCTGGCGCCTCATTGCGCTGGGTGTATGATAGGGCCCTAGTTCTGCTTTAAAACAGGGATTGTGACAACATCTGTTGAACTATTAACATGGCTTATAATTGTTTCATGGTTTACAGTCGCTCTGAATTTGCTCCACCTCCCAATCCTTCACATGTTGATTCAGATGATACACGCAGACAGACTGAGACTCTCTAAGGCTAGTGCAGTGTCTTTGCAGTCAGTGGGCGCCATGAGAGCTCGGTTAACTCTGCTAAAACTCCCGTTAAAAAAAGTGAAGCCTCAGGGCCAAAGACACCGCTGAACGGATGCGCAGAGACAGTGCACTAACCCGCTGAAAACCCTGTCTGTGGTCCATCTGACTGAAAACCGGGCATGTAGAGCTATTGGTATAATGTTGTGTGTATGCCAGTGTTTGTTTATGTGTGTGCCAGTGAAATTATGTGAGTAATGTGAGACCCCCAAGGCAAGTGTAAGATGGTAATGGCTTCTCTCAATATTTCTGAAACTCAAAGAGGCTCCCAGAGGGTCCTGGATCAAGAACAGACTACTGTCATAACAAGTGCAGACGTCAGAGCCTTGGGTATTTTGAATATAAATGTTTTTATAAAGCTTTATAACTACAATCAGAAGAGATATTTGAGTAGAAGAGCTGGGGGAATGAGTATCTGAAAGTCCAATACATAAACGTTTCATTAGCATAAACATTTTATCAGAATTCAGCATAAAGGCTTTATCCAATAATATGCAATGTGCACACTCTGTTCATTAAGTTATACACTTACAAAACCTGAAACCTAGAGGAAAAATAAAACATATACTGTGGTCACATTTACTTTATTTCACTCTAATTTTGTGGTATACTGCAGTTTTTTATCTTTCAGGTACTTTTCAGGTATGTCCCAATGCATCCCTGTCACAGTTTCAGAAAATTGCCTGATCCTTAATGAAGCAGTGATAAGGTGTTCTGTAAGTAAATTACAAACAACCTATGATCAGCCTATATTCAGGCTACACTTTGGGAATAAACGTATTCTTAATGAAGAATTAGAACATTTGGATCTGACAGCTGGTAAATTACATGAAGTAAATATTCTGTCATCATTTATTCACCCTATGTTCTTCCATAACTGTATGAATTTCTTCCCACTCGGAATACAAAACAAGATATTTTGAAGCATTATAAAATTTGTTATTTTTCATGAAATTAGCCCCCATGAAATTTGCTTTAAAAAAAATGTCTCTTAAAGTGTGGTCACTTTTTGTCGAAATGTCATGAGCAAAAAGATCCATTGTCTAATTTGTCAATAGTGTGATATATGAAGGACAGCTCACACAAAAGACACTTTTAAACCAGCTAGCTTTTTGTTGGTCAATGCGTCAAATCCACATGACTTATTAACTTGAACCTGTTGAAAAATCTGCATTGGGATTATTATTTTTTTTTGCTCTCACATGAAATTCCTGATTGCATCGATTGCATTTGAAATGACTTATGTGTGAGATTTCACAAGTGAAAATTCAAACAATGGCATATGTGACTACATCTTTATAGAATATTCCAAATCTTTTGATGCCTAACTTAGCTAGTGTGAGGAACAGACTGAATTTTAAGTTGCTATACTGATAATATTTCCCTTCCAGTAAGATGCTAAACACTGCAACCAGATTGAGTCACTGAGTTGTTCCTTTAAGTTGCATCTTTTCAATGAATTAGTTGATCCAGTTCACAAATCCCAGATGGTTCGCATGGAGCGTAAGTGCAGGGAAAAGAGCGTATAATTCTTTAAAATTTCTTCTTTTGTGTTCCAGGAAATAAGAAAGTGAAATGTAATTTTTTTTTCATGTATTACATTAACTACTGTATGTACGATAACAAACAAACCAAATTGTTCTTAAGCTCATGAGTTTTTCAGATAATCGTGATTATTGTCATGATCACAGTCTCTTGCTTTGCTGATTAATCTCTAGCGTGTTATCTTTCTAATTTCACATGTATAACACCCTATAATTTTGTTGATGCAAACAGCAGAATCCTGGGGACTTGTCAACATCAATATCTCTGAGCAGATATTACTCATCCATGTTGCAGCACCCAGTGCATTAATTGAAGGATGTTATGTAGTCATGCAGTTTTGCAGGCTACGAGTTTGTGTTATTCACCCATGCTAAATGCTGTTACACCATCCTCACTCACATGTGTTCAATGAGTCAACTCTATCACCGCCCGAATGACTCCACTAATAACGTAAAGACATCTGTTATATTTCAACGCAAAGCTGTTGAAATAATTCTTAATATAATCCACTTTGACAAAATTTAGTTAGGGAAAAGTATCTGTTAGCAGCTTAGTTTATCCATTTATATTTATGTCAACGTGTCAGGACCTACTCATTGTCGTGATCATACTTCAGATTGAATATTATCACACAGAATTGATATTAATGGCATTGAAATTCTGCAGCATCTCAGATCATTATCTAGTCTTGTGTATACTCCATATAACTAAAGCTGCAAATTCAACTCCTTGTTACAAATATGGTAGAACCATCACTTCTACCTCAAAAGACTGCTTAGAAAATAATCTTCCTAACTTGCCTCAATTCCTCAGCATATCCAACAGCTCAGAAAAACTTGATGTTGTAACAGAAACTATGGACTCACTCTTTTCTAGACACGGTTTCTCCTTTATGCTTAAAGAAGATTAAGGAAAATAGTCCAACACTGTGGTATAACGAGCACACTCGCGCACCAAAGAGAGCAGCCTGGAAAATGGAGCGCAGCTGGAGTAAAACAAAACTAGAGGCATTTCGTATTGCATGGAGTTAAAATACTTCTACCTACAGAAAAGCCTTAAGAACTGCTTACTTTTTGTCTTTATTAGAAGAGAACAAACACAACCCCAGGTATTTATATTTTATTAAATATGGGCTAAATTTACGAAAAATAATGCATCCACAGGCACAGACATTTCCCAACAGCACAGCAGTAATGACTTTATGAATTTCTTTACTTCCAAGATTGATGCTATCAGAGAGAAAACTATAACGTGTAGCCATCAGCTACAGTATTGCATCAGATGCGAAACAATTCCACTAATTTTCTGCTTTAGGAGAGGAAGAATTGTATAAATTTGTTAAATCATCTAAACCAACATGTATGTTAAACCCTGTAACATCTAAGCTACTAAAATAGGTGCTTACAGAAGTCATAGATCCACTTCTGAATATTATTAATTTGTCATTGTCATTACGATATGTCCCAAAATCCTTCAAACTGGCTGTTATTAATTTTAAGCCACTCATTAAAAAAACACAACTTGATCCTAGAGAATTAGTTAATTACAGACCAATTTAAAATCTCCCTTTTCTGTCAAAGATACTAAAGGCAATATCCTCACAATTATATTCTTTCTTAGAGAAAAATGGTATATTGTGAGGACTTCCAGGCAGGATTTAGACCATATCATAGTACTGAGAATGCTCTCATTAGAGTTACAAATGACCTGCTCTTATCATCCGATCGTGGTTGTATCTCTCTATCAGTGCTACTGGATCTTAGCGCTGCATTTGACACTATCGACCACAACATTCTTTTGAGACTAGAAAATTATGTTCGAATTGCATTGACATGGTTCAAATCATGCAGTGAATAAAGGGGTATCATATCGATCACAAGTACAGTATGGAGTACCACAAGGCTCGGTACTAGGACCTTTGCTTCTTACCCTGTACATGTTACCTCTGGGAGATATCATCAGGAAACATGGATTTAGCTTTCATTGTTATGCTGATGATACTCTTCGTGGCCTGACAAAACCAATTCACAAAACTAACAGAATGCATAGTTGATATAAAAAAACTGGATGACTAGTAATTTCCTAATGCTAAATTCTGAAAAAACAGAGGTGTTAATTATCAGACTAAAAATGTTCGAATGTAATAACCTAGAACATTGTCTAACACTTGATGGCTGCTCTATCAATTCTTCATCATCAGTTAGGAACCTAGGTGTGCTATTTGATAGCAATCTTTCCTTTGAAAGCCATGTTTCTAGCATTTGTAAAACTGCATTTTTCCATCTTAAAGTGCCCCTATTATGCCATTTCCAATATTGCCTTTCATGCAGTGTGTAATGTAGCTGTATGTGAATGTAAACGATCTGCAAAGTTGTAAAGCTGAAAGTGCACGATAAATAAA